CCAGAGTAGATAACATCAGTGCTAGTAGGGAGGGAGGTTTGCTCTCAATTTATATTCTAGTGGCTTGCGTTGTCAGGGGTCTTGGTTGCTCTGTGGTTGAGCTATTATTTACTGTTAGCTTGTTTGGCAGTTTTTGATTGTTTACTTCTTGATTGTTGATCTTGGTGTTAATCTCTGTCCATCAGGATATTGATTGCTGATAGGGAGGTATTTGGTCTTTTTGTTCCTTTTTTGGCTTGTTAGTTGTCTCTTTTGCACGGTATATAGAAGTTGTTTATGGAACACTGCTTACAGAGTGCACCTATTACATTTGTGTTTCCTGTTGCACTTTGATCTTTGTCTAGAGCCTATTTTGATTGTGATTTTGAATTACAAAAAGAGGAATGTGTGAAGGGAGGACTTGATTTCCTTCCCTGAATTTCTATCCTACCTCGTCAGAGTCTCACTGCCACTTCCAAAAAATGTCACAGGGAAAACCATTGCTGCAGAATTCTGTTGTTTGTAAGTATACCATATCACACCAAAAAGGTAAAGGCGCCCCTGTCGGTTGTATATGACTCTAGGGCATGGTGTTCATCTGTTTCTTGGCCAAGGGAGCCAGTGTTGTCTGAAGACAATTTCTGTGGTCATGTGGCTAGTATGGCTATACACCAAAGGCACACCAAACACTGTTACTTTCCCGCCGAAGTGATACCTATTAATCTACTTGCATTTGTAAGTTTTTGAACTGCTAGGTGGGGAATCTGAGGTAAGTAATGGGCACTTACCCCATTGTGTGGAGCTTGGGTCTTAAACCTGGGCTGTCAGTTCTACCTGACAAGCTCAGCATCTTTAACCACATAGCATCTGAATATTTTTTCCAAGCCCCTCATTTTATCTTATCTAGTTTATTGCATATTTCTTCACTGCTGGTTCCTTTACTATCAATTGTCAATCCTAAAAGGCAAACACTGATTACCAATTTAATGTCTTCATCATTGTCAGCAAATAAGTCTTGTTGCTATACTTGCTTTCATTTGTTTGTTTCTCACCAGCATAATAAAAGTTATGGATGTTCCCTCCTCCAATTTAAAGGTGCTCATATTCTTCCAATCCAATTTCTCTCGATATATATTCAGCAAATAAGTTGAATAAATAAAGAAGAGAGTACACAACCTTGTGTCGCTCCTTTGCTGACCAATATATTTTGCAATGTTCTGTCCGGATGCTTCAGGCTACTTTCAGATATTTTTTTTTCCTTAAATCTGGATGATTAGGATATCTTGTGAAGTAAGTGAGACCAGCTGGTATCTTTAAGTGGTGTAAATGGATCTAATGATTGCTTCTCCTGGGTGCTTTGTCAGTTCACTGAGCACAGGAGTCTCTTGTCTATGGAGATTCTCAGTCATTCAGGTCATGGTTGCCCGAAGGTGTTTTTTTCAAAAGGCAACTGGACTTTCTTAGAATTGAAGAAGCTTCTTGGATGAGAAGCAAAACATCTTCAAGGAAAAACAAAGAAAATTCAGGTGCCTTTTGGGGGGAAAAAAACCCCCATCTTTGGAATAGGCTGCTCATGTTTCCCTATTGTGAATCCCTTAAAAATCAAATTTGGTGGTGCTATTGAGGGGGAAATAAAATAAAAACTACTATTCAAAAAGCATTTAGATTGCTTCTCTTTGATCCCCACCCCACCCCACTCTTCTATGGGTATATTCTGGATTTATTTAAACTTTCATTATTAGTTGAAACATTAATTTGTGTATGAATGATTATGGACCCTGTGTAGCCCAAATCTCACCAGCAATTAAATCTTCTTGAGAGGGAGGAGGGAATTCCTATATGCTCAGGCGACTCAGAGTTATTTATTTATTATTTATTTATTTGGTTCGATTTATATGCCGCCCTTTTCCAGAGACTCAGGGCGGCTTACAATGCGTTAAGCAATAGCCTTCATACTTTTTGTATATACCTGCTTAGTAGGGCTTTCAGGACCCCCCTAAGCGGGTGTTCTTTTTTTTAATACAAAGTCAGCTTATTGCCCCCACAAACCAGGTCCTCATTTTACCTACCTCAAAAGGATGGAAGGCTGAGTCAACCTTGAGCCTGGTGAGATTTGAACTTGCAGTAATTGCAGGCAGCTGGTGTTACTTAACAGTGCTTTAGTCTGCTGTGCCACCAAGTTGCACTCATTCTGTCTCTAGCTGGGCTGGATCCAGTGCAGGTCAGCTGCAACTGCAAGACCTAGGAAGGGCTGCCGTCAACTATTCCTGGCAAAAGGTGCCCCCCAGCCCTCAAGGGCCAGATTCCAGCAATGCAGAGCAACCCTCTCTGCTGCAATTAAGCTCAGGCAGCAAATTTGTGCAGAGGTCCTTGTGAGCCCAGAGTTTTGTGGCAGCTGAAATCATTTTTTTAAAATTATTATTTTGGGAGCACTTAATTATGTACGCAGTTGATTTTTCACCATGTGCTTGGGTTTGCTGGGTAATACACATATCTTAGAGGGAAGGTTGTCTGTGGGGGAAGGACTATCCAAGTCCAATTTGGAAAGATTCATGGCAAGCTTTTTAGATAAATAGAGATAGAGATGTAATTATCAAATGTGTGATTTCATTTTCAGTTGATAGTAGTCAATCTGTGTCCCATTGGGTCATCATTTCAGAAGTATTTTCTTACCTTAAAATAGAGAAACCAAAAGGCCACAGGTGTGTAAAAAGCAGTGGGAGCAGGAGCGATTTCCAACTTGCTGTTGGCTTCCCCATTGAGTTTCCTTATGAGAAGCTGGCAGGAAACCCTTCCTTCCTTCCTTCCTTCCTTCCTTCCTTCCTTCCTTCCTTCCTTCTTCCCTCCCTCCCTGTTCCTTCCAATAATGTAACAACCTCATGAATTCCATCATTGTGGAGTATACCTATTCTTAATTCTAAGCAATCTTGAGGATCCATGAATTTGAATAAATTTGGCTTCTCTTTTGAGGTCTGGCACTACATGACCAATGTAATGATGGATTTGCCCTAAATAATCACAGAAGGATTCCATCCATTCCACGTTAGAAGGACTTCTTTGGCACCAAAGGATGTCATTCGGAATAGGCAGTTGTATCGTCCTGAACCCATTTGCAACAGGCTCACATTGTTGTTATATAAATTGAGGAGTTCATTAGGTAGAGGTTACAAATTGCCTATCCTGACCTTTCTCTTTATACAGCAAAAAAGGTAAAGGCAAATGTTTCCCCCTATCTGGTTGTGTCTCACACTAGGGGGCAGTGCTCATCTCCGTTTCCCAGCTGAGGGAGCCGTACAACGAAACTTGGCAATTTTCTCCAGAGAAAAGGAACACAGGACAGTGAGGGCAGGCTTTGGGTACAGCACCAACAAAAAATGTATTATGTCATGCAAATTGTGCATTTTGCCTCGCTTTTTGATGTTTTGGCCTTGTTGTTGTCATGTTAAGGAATTCTCGCAGTAATTAGTGTTTGCCACATGTTCTTGTTGATCTTCCCCTTCCTCTTTCACCTTTTCTTACCTCCTCATTTTGTACCTTTTGTTACTATTCTGGAGATATGAAGCTCTTTCATCCTCCATTTCTTCATCTCTCTTCCTTCCTGACACATCCCAATCATCTCTTGACCGTGTTATTTCCCCCCTCTCTTTCCATATGGCATAATTATGCTGATGATAGTTTTTAATTTAATTTAATTTTTTATTATTTTACCACAATATTGTACATTGCAGTTCTCACCTCAGAGCAGTTTAGAATCCCTAAATCCCTTCTCTGTTGAGTTGTGGAAGCTGTCAGATACAGTTTTAAAAAGAAACATGTGACTCCTGAGGACTAGGGTACAGTGGTGAAATGCAAATTTTTTTTGCCACCGGTTCTGTGGGCATGGCTTGGTGGGAGTCATGTGACTGGGTGGGCATGGCCAACTTTTTTTTTTTTTTTACTTTTTAAAGCATTTTTTTACTACCGATTCGCCCGAACTGGTAGTAAAAAATGCTTTTAAAAAGTAAAAAAAAAAAAAGGTTCCAACAATCGCGTGGCACAGCTGTGATCATCAGAACCTTTTTTTTACTTTTTAAAGCATTTTTTTACTACTGGTTCACCCCTGGTAGAGTAGAACTGTTCTATTCCGATTTCTGTGGTTGAATGAGGGGCTGGTCTACTCTCAGCTTCAGAGTAGAGTAGTTGAAAAGTGAAACAGGATAGACAAGGACTAAGGCATAGTGGCCGATGTATTTGGTTGATACCAGAGAGATACAGTTTCTGCTCCATCTGCAGCCACAGCAGCTCACTTGGTGATTTTTCAGTTCATCCTACCTCATAGGGTTGTTGTAAAGGAATATAGAAGGATGAATGTGCCTTAAATTCTGAACAAAGATGGGATACAGATACATAAGCATGTTTGTATACCAAAGAAGGGGATCATAAAGTAATAAAAATATCCATGCACTTTAAAATTGTTGCTTCTTTAAAAGTTACATGCTGAATCAATTCCTTGTTGCCGGGTAGGGTAGGGAACAAAGGACTGCAAAAGTGGCTGGGAAACTGTCATGAAACATTCAGAATGAGCATCATGTGACTGCAACAATAGCCCAGCAGTGCAACAGTAGCCAGTAGCATTGAAGCAGCCCAGACTTTCCCAAATTTAATTTCCATAAGAGTCATGGGTCCCTGGATTTTGGATACATTCTGTATGTGAGCCCATTTGAAGTACTTTGGTTCTAAAATTGTTGCCCTATTATTTAATGTTTAACCAGGTTAATGGTAATGACAATTAGAGATTTAATATTATATAGACTGCTACTAGAATAAATTCCCTTCTCCTTGCAGCTTCAGCTCTGTCCTCCAAAATTGTCCCTGAAAGTTGGAGACTCTCGTGTGGAAGTTCAGAGGGACATGTGATGGATGAAAAGGGAGAAGAGCAAAGAGAAATATATTTAATAGGATATTAATACCCTATTAATATCCTATTAATACCATCATACCCTAAATGCAAATTTCTACAATGCCCACTCCACATGCCAAGATGCATTTCAAGGTGAATTTATTTTTCAGATGCACAAAATTCATATACCCATGATAGACACGTGAAAACAAAATATCAACTACATACAGAGACAGAATCTGGTGAATGCTATGAAAGCATATAAGCGAAATGTTCTTGCATGCTAGTCATATTCAATACGCAAGACATAAACTGGAAACAAATTTCAAATGCTCAGTGTCAAGGTTCACGCAGCTGTTTAAAGTGTGATTTGCTTGCTTGCTACCTAATGCAATGGATAGATCCAGACATTTCGATTTGTGGTAAAGCATAGCGTGATGCATAAATAAATAGCAAAGTATGGTTTAGCTGTGCTAAAATAAGGCAAGTTATCAATAAAATCAAATTTACAGAATAATGGAATAAAATGTTTGACATCTAAATGAAGTCAGTGAAGGCACCAAGTGCCTCCTCTTTAAGGAGGCAACTTAGAAAAAGATAGCCACCTGAAGAAATGTTTTTTTCTCTAAAATATATATCTCCAAAGAAAATGCTTTTCCCCCTAGCAAATTTTTGCCTTACTCCCAAAGGTAGGTATCCAGAAAATAGAGGTATGACTTAGCCTGAAAATGACATTTTCATTTCAGCAGTAAAAGTGTAATTAAATAAAGAGAAATCTATCTGATACAGTTCCATGAGTTTCTGTATTTGGTTCCAGTCCATTTTTCTTAGATATTGGGTAGTGAGGTTCTTGTTTGTCCTTTGTGGATAAAACTTACTGTCTGGGTAACGGATAATCTCTGGAGCTCTGATTCTGTTGAGAGTATGATTGACATCATCCTCCAGCGTCTCATACTTTCCCAGAATGTCATACTGAATATTGCAGGGATCACACAACAGGGACATTGGTTTCCAATGTACATCCAAATACTCCTTATTGCTTGTCACAATATAGTTTACAAACTCTTGAAAAGTCACAGCACCTGTAAAGTTTTTGCCCTTCCTAAACAAGGCTTTAATCTGATTTGCCACAGTGCCACTATAGTAAGGTTCATTACCCAATAATTTGTCTCTGTAAGCAGAGACCAATCTTTCTAGAGGATGTCTGGTAAACATCACTTTTGTAAAGGAATTCAAAAGTTCTTCTTGTTGTTTAGGTGGATAAGAACTCAACCGCTTTAGAAGGTTTGTTTTATGAATCTCCTTCTGGCTTACTTCAAAGGTATCCCTGCTCAGGTTGAGCATGAGTAGCAAAACAATTTTCTTCCAATTAGAACAGCCTACTTTTGGCACTTCACAATAGATAAATTTGTAGTTCTCATCCACAAAGAGTTGTCTAGACACCTGTACATTCAGCTTTCTTTTTAAATTTGTTAAATTCTTGCTCAGGCAGATGGAATCCAATCTGGTTTTACGATCATTTTGTATTTTCAACCAATCTTCTTTATGAACTAGAAGAAAAATTCAAACTTTGTTGAGACATTTAAAAAAAAAATAACAGCTTTTTTAAAAAATCAGATCTGCAGTCCTGTATGCCACATTTGGATGGGAATTTGGTGAATTTTAGTTCAGCAATATTTTAATTGCATCTGGTGAACAGTGTTGTGGGAAGTAATTGCTATAGGATTAATTCAGGGGTGGGCAACTATGACCCTTTTATGACTTGTGTACTTCAACTCCCAGAATTCCTGAGTCAGCCATGTTAGCTCAGGAATTCTGGGAATTGAAGTCCACAAGTCATAAAAGGGCCATAGTTGCCCACCTCTGGATTAATTAATTACTTTTTCCTCTGAGACAGAAATGAAATCATGGGGATGTTTCCAAGCATTCCATTTTGTGAGGGTTCTTTGCTTTTCTGGGACTGAACACACCTCAGTGTAGCAGATCTATACACAATGCTTTATTGCAGCACACAGGATGTTTATCTTCAACCACAGGATGTTACTATGGGTTATCTCTACCCATCTTGGCTTTACAAGGTGATGTTGTCATATAAATACTGTGAGGGATCTCACAAAGATCAATGGTTCGTTGAGGGCACTTCCAAGAAAAGGCAGCACGCAAGGATGCAATCAAATTAAGTCTTTATTTAGAAGTAAAGTAGAGTAAAATGAGTTCCCTGGCATGGAGGCATCCATGTCTGGATTGAGCCCATGGATCATTCCTGTAGGAAGGTGCAACAAGAGCAGAAAGAGCAGCCCCTGTGGAGGGGTTCTTATAGGGGGCCCTGGCTCCTCCCTTACCAATGTGTGAGGGGGCCGGAGGGCCATTAACTCTCCCCAATGGGGTTGCAGGGGCCGGAGCCCCTTGACCCATCAGTGGGATCAAAGGTGCCTCTTTGTTCCCATCTGGTGGCCTTTGAAGAAACTGCCATGGCTGGCACAAAAAACACCTAACAAATACATCTTTAATGCACAGCCCTTTAACTCAGTAACCTTTGACTCCTTCTAAAAGTTCTTGTGGTAGTTGCTATGAGGTGCTGCCTTAACGTGGTTGCCTCTTTTCTGGTTGCTGCCAAGCTCCAGGCCAAGCTCCAAACTCAGCTCTTAAGCATTGTTGTTTTTGAGTACTCCAGCTGAACTCCGAATCCATACTCCAGGCAAAAATCCCTACAGCCACTTACTGTAGCTTCTGGGCTGGCAAATGATTGATAACCCATCTGCCTGTAATAGCTGTCAATCTCCAAACATTGTTTCTCCGCTTCTCATCTGCTTGCTATCTCCTCTACTCCTACACAACAGGCATTCTTAGTGTTTATTTTTGTAAGCAAGGGCCTGGGTGTGGATCAATTAGCCAGCCAGCTGGAAACCCAACATGAATGCTTCAAAGTAAATACTTGTGAATGAATAACTGAATGCACACATCCGTACATGAGTCCATCTCTTAAGGTTTTGCCCTTTGGGGGAGGGAAATCATGAGCTGCGTTTGTTGCAGTGGTGAAATGTAAAACTTGTTACTACCGGTTCTGTGGGCGTGGCTTGGGGGCGGTAATGTGACTGGGTGGGCGTGGCCAACTTAAAAAAAAATTAAAGCATTTTTTCTACAACCTTAAAAGGTTGCAGAAAAAAAGCTTTTAAAAGCCTCTGACGATCCCAGCTGAGCTGCACAATCATCAGAGGCTTTTTTTTTTTTAACTTTTAAAAGCATTTTTTCGGCCAAAGAGGTTGTAGAAAAAATGCTTTTAAAATTTTTTTTTAAAAGCCTCTGATGATCATGCGGTTCAGCTGGGCATGGGGTGGGGCAGGGATGTTTGCTACCGGTTCTCCGAACCACCTGCCGCCATTGCTACCAGATCGGGCGATCCGGTCCAAATTATTATCAATGACTTGAATGAGAGACCTAAAATGATAATTTAAGGGTTTTTGCAGATGGCATAAAGCTGGGGAAGAGGCAGTTAACACTTTGGATCAATGAGATAAATTTCAAAAAGCTTTAGACAGCTCAGAGCAGTGAGTTCCAGTGAACAAGATGGAAATTGACAGAAAGAAATGTAAAATTATGCATCTGGGTTGGAAACCTCCGTTCCCCCACCTTCCCCATGTGTCTTTGGTTTTAAGGTTTGATTTTAACTTTTTTTTTTTGTTTTAACTTAGATGTAACTATAAGTTGCATAGAGTTACCATATGGTAACTCTGAATGCAGGAGGCATCCAGAATAGAAGTTTGACTAAATGTAAGCAAGAATGGCTAGCTTACATATTCCAAGTCATATAACAAAGCTGACTCAAATACTTAGAATACGGTTTTTAAGGGGAAAATAGTTGATGTCAAGATAGTAACCAGAAGCTATGGCAATATTTATAATAATTCGATGAAATCACTAACTGGGTATATTGGGAGGGAATCTAGAATGTAATATTGTTTTTGCTTACTGTTTTTAAGGGTTTTCTTTTCAATTTTTTGCCTTGAAATTATTTCTCAAAATGACATGATTAATTTTATAGGTTTAAGTAATCATTGAAATAATGATTTTTAAATGTTATGATAATTGTAACTTCTCTTTATTTACTGGGGTTTTATTTTCCTTCCACAGTGCCTTTTATCATTTTTTTTCCCTTTGTCATTTATTTTATTCTTTAATATTTATTTTTTTAAAAAACTGTGAAAGTTTAAGGGCATATGTATGTTTCAGTCAGAACAGATTTCATGTTTAGAGTTGACAGGATGGCAAGCCTATTGGTCATTGCAAATTTAGGCTAACACTTCAGTTTGTGAGGTCTGTAAACCAATAATGATATCTATAGAGTAAATGCTTATTTAGTTTTCGCCTAATTTGCAATTCAAAACCACATGAAGAGCAGCAGAATCCATAGTACACCCTGTGGTCTTATCATCTATCAACCCATGTTTGTCCAGAACTACAATGCATTTTGACATTGATTTCAACACATTTGCTTCCCATCCTTCTCTTTTATTCTTAGTCTTATTTCCTTATGCTGCCTCTGAGTACAATGTTTGCACAGTTCCACGCCCCTGTCATATTTACCTACTTTTTTATAACTGCTTTACTGGAAAATTGACCCCCCCACCCCACCCCCCACACACACATATATGCTGGAATTCAGTTAATTGATGATCCATTGTCTTACCTGTCGTTTCTGCATGCCGTTGAGTAGAAAAAAAGAATCCAAGCAGTGTACAAAGCAGGAGAAAAATGAGTAACTTTTTCAGCAGGTGAGTCATTACGGTTTCCTAACAGGCCAAATGCTGTAACCTTTTTAGGTTAGATTCTAAACAATCAGAAATATAACAGGCATGTTGTTAAAAGGGCTTCAAAAATCACACATCACACAAGATGAACTTTGCAATTTGTCGAAGGAGGTTTTCATTATTTTACGTACATACTTTATATGTATATTAAGAGCCGTGGTGGTGCAGTGGTTAGAATGCAGTATGGCAGGCTACTTCTGCTGATTGCCGGCTGCCAGCAGTTTGGCAGTTCGAGTCTCAGCGGCTCAAGGTTGACTCAGCCTTCCATCCTTCCGAGGTTGGTAAATGAGGACCCAGATTGTTGGGGGCTGACTCTGTAAACTGCTTAGAGAGGGCTGTAAAGCACTATGAAGTGGTATATAAGTCTAAGTGCTATTGCTATATACACATAAACAATATTTGATATGATAAAGCACATTAGGGAGTGCAACCTTTGGCCTTCTACCCTTGACCTCTCAGTGCAATATCTCAGGCAGCACTCAAAAAAATAAGTGGGATACAGAACAAAAGAAAGCAGCACAATGAAGACAAAAACTACATTTGACTTAAGCTAAATTAAATAGTAAAATTCATTACAGTTGTGTTGTTTCAACCTGTTTAATAATTTTCCCCTTCAGCCATATTATACATCCTACAACTTTGTAGCAATCTCTGAGGCACTCTGGGGCCGCCCTAAAGCTTTTCTGCAGGCACAGGTGGTATGACTCTGCTCTGGATTCTGTTCAGAGCTAGGAGAAACAAGAAAAATAAATCTGGATCAGAGCATCGCATCTCAATAGTATAAGCAAAGTGATCTCCATCAACCAAAGGTGGGTTTCAGCAGGTTCTGACCAGTTCTGGAGAACCGGTAGCGGAAATTTTGAGTAGTTCAGAGAACCGGTAGTAAAAATTCTGACTGGCCCCGCTCCCATCTATTCTCTGCCTCCTGAGTCCCAGCTGATCGGGAGGAAATGGGGATTTTGCAGTAACCTTCCCATGCCATGCCCACCAAGCCACACCCAACAAGCCATGCCACGCCCTCCAAGCCACACCCACAGAACCGGTAGTAAAAAAATTTGAAACCCACCACTGCCATCAACCACTAGTTAGTTCCATGAGTGGAGGATCCTTCCTGACACTTTGATTCAGCACATGAACCATCTGCTAAATCAGGTCCTCTCCTCCTTCCAGCATGAAAATCAGAAACCTGTAGTGTGTAGTCACATCCGTCGTATATGTACAACTATCACACTTCCTATAGCTAAAAGTTCTAATATGGGGCAAAAATGACAGGCAGCCTATTTATTTTGCATGATAAACCTCTTAAAAAGTGATAGAGGGAATATGGATTTTAATACACAAATACTCCCTTGATTCCATCTATCCCCTATATTGCCGCTGGACAAAGCATAAGGTATGTCATGATTTAGCTTCCTGTATGGAATCTTACAGGGAGTCCAGGCAATGCAGTTTGCCATTTATGCCCTATTGATGTTTTCTTGCTTTTTCTGGTCTTTTTTTTTTTTTTTTTTTACAGGGGAAATCCATCAGGGAGACAAAGAATTGCACATGGCATTCCACGAATCTTCTGTCCTTGAAACAACTCATTGAGTTAATCAGTCAGCTTTCAAGTTTCAGCAGGCTTTGTTTGCTCAGGCAATATCTGATATTTCATAAAATTTCAGGGAGGTAGCAAAGAAGACCTGGCCTCTTTTCTTTTTTATGGAGAGATCCTTGAAAGGCTTCAGGTAGCTTGAAGACCAATGGAGGAGGATCTTCTGAATTTCACCTAAGCTCTTCATTCATTCAAATTGGAATTATGACCATTTAAACTTTTCCCTCAGTTCCTCTCAGGTCTGCATGCTCTTCCCAGTTCCGGAAATTTCTTTATTTCTAAAAATGGTATCTTTTGTGTTCATGTTTCATTTGGGAGAAATAAATCAGTTTCTAAATTCATGTAGTTCTGCATGCTTAGAACGGGTAGATATGAGTTTATATTATTTTAGTATGGATTTGACCTATTTCCAGATTATTATTTTTTTGAGGGTCCATTAGGTTCTTCCAGAGCAAGCCAGGAAATTTGCAAACCAAGAAACCACATAAATGAGCCTTCGTATCAGCAGAGAAAACAACAGATCCTGGCTATAGCACTTCCAAATGTGTCAAAGAGTACTTTCTGTAGAAGATTACCACTAGCAGCCCTTAGGAATGCTTGCAGTATCAGAAGACAATAGGATTTAGGTGAGGCTCCTTGCCAAGGAAAGACACCCACCAGGAGCTGATGAGCTGATCTTTTAGTCTATAAAGATTGTAGATGTCTCTGGAGATTCTCAGTCATCCAGTCATGGTTGTCCCAAAGGGGCTTTTTTCAAACTGCAATTGGACTTTCTTGATTTTTTTTCTTAAAGACATTTCACTTCTCATCCAACAAACGTCTTCAATTCTAACTGGTGGGAAAGGAAAACATTTATACTCTTGGTAATCAGCCAGTCATCAACACCCTATGGTTGTTGAAGCCACCTGGGGGTTAATGTTAACATAATATTAACAACTTAACATAAGTGGTGCCTCCTGTTTACAGTGTGATTTCTATGAAGATTCCACAATTGTTTCCACTCTGATTCAGGTGACTATAAAAACACAAGATTAACTCCCCACGGCTGAACATTTTTCTTGAAACATCTTACCCAGATGATGTGACCTAGTTTGGTTTAATGAAATCTGCAAGAAAACAAGCAAGCTCAGAGAACACCAAGGACCCCTCTTGAAACATCTTCAAGATCAATAAAAAAAAGTTGCCATTTGAAAAAAGCATCTTTGGGACAAAGATTGTACTTTGTCAAAAAATTCATTTTAGCCAAACCGTAATGATTATCCTAATCTACATATGTTATTAAAGGAGAAGTATCATTTAAGCTATGTACTGTACTTACTCTTCCAACTTGAAGCATCAGTTTGATGAAAATATTTTTAAAATAAATTTTATTAATTTTCTATTAATTACATTCCTTAGTGCTTAATAAACATTGTATTGTCTGAGCATTTACCGGTAATTTGCTTAACAATACAAATGCCATTCTTACTCTCCACCTTTTTTTTCCAACCATTGGTAAAATAAATTCCAAGTTTGATAATATTCTGGGTCTTCTTTCTGTTTGATTTTCGGTGTAAGTCTGTCCATTTCTGCAGTCTAATATCTTCTTAATTATCTCTTCATCTTGAAGCATTTCTTCATCTTTCTAATATTGTGCAAAGATAATCCTCGCTGCTGTTAAAACATGTAATATTAAATACGTACTTCTCTTATCAAATTTTTCTGAAATCATCCCTAACAAAAACAGTTCAGGTTTAAAATCTACATGTTTCTCTATTATCTTGTCTAGCCATCTATGTATTTTTGCCCAAAATTTTTGTTTTAGCACAAGTCCATTATAATAAAATGTGCCCATCTTTTGATTACATTTCCAACATTTGCTAGACATATTTTTAAACATTTTAGCTAAACTAGCAGGTGGTAAATGGTCCAGAATGCGGCTGTGTGGGTGGTTATGGGCGCACCTCGTTACGCCCATGTAACACCTCTCCTGCGCGAGCTGCACTGGCTCCCAGTGGTCTTCCGAGTGCAATTCAAGGTGTTGGTTACCACCTTTAAAGCGCTCCATGGCATAGGACCAGGGTATCTACGGGACCGCCTTCTGCCACCAACAGCCTCCCACCGACCAGTTCGCTCCCACAGAGAGGGACTCCTCAGGGTACCGTCGGCCAAGTTATGTCGGCTGGCGACACCCAGGAGGAGAACCTTTTCTGTCGGAGCTCCTGCCCTTTGGAATGAATTGCCCCCGGACATTCGTAACATCTCTGACCTCCGGGTCTTCTGCTGTGCCCTCAAGACCCTACTGTTCCAACAGGCGGGGCTGTCTAACTGAATGATTTTAAATTGGGTTTTAATTTTGGGTTTTAAAATTCGGCCAAAACTATTTAATGATTTTAATTAATTTTAACCATGATATCTGTATATTTATGTTTTAATTCTGGCTGTACACCGCCCCGAGTCCTTTGGGAGAAGGGCGGTATATAAATATTATTATTATTATTATTATTATTATTATTATTATTATTATTATTATTTGCCATCTATAAAACATTTTAATATAAATTTTCTTTATAAGAAGTTGCTATTGTTAATCTATAGTTCCCTTCCCATAAATTTTGCCATTTCTCTAATTTTATATTGTATCCAAAGTTTTTTTCCTATTGTACCATTGTGTCTTTTATTTGTTCATCCTCCATTTTTAAACTTAGCAAAAAGCTATATATCTTCTTAATTAATTTTTCATCAGAGTTCAACAATGTCTTATCAAATGCTGTTTGTCCTTTATAAAAACCATATGCGTGTGTGTGTGTGTGTGTTTTCGTAGATTTTCATGAGTAGAGGTATGCAAGTTTCGGTGTATTCGGGTCTTTTCCCATGTAAGATTGAGAGTATCTTGGCGACGTTTCACAAGGTCCCACTCGTCATCTTCAGGCTGGTGCTTTTGGCTTCGTGCCTGCGCGAGGAAAGCATGATTGGAGCTGCTGTCTCTCTATAAATACTGGTGGGGAGGTGTGGGGTGCTGGCTTTGTTGCTGTGAGTGGGTTGGTTGCCTGTGTTGTTACATCTTGATTAGTTGATGGAGCTGATGTTTGCAGATTAGTCAGCTGTTTCGTAACATCCTGTGTGGGTGAGGTCCTTGATGTGTGCCCATTAGACGAGTGGGACCTCGTTGAAACATCGCCAAGATACTCTCAATCTTACATGGGAAAAGACCTGAATACACCAAAACTTGCATATATATATAATATATATATTGCTGATAAAGAAATAAAGGGAGACCCAGTAAAATATAAAAATCTACATTTATCGATGTTAGGAAGGATTGCCAGGATAAAAATGAATAACCTACCAAAACTGCTTTTCCTGTTTCACTGTACCTATAAAAATTGAAAATAAATTCAAAAGAATGGATAACTCTCAGACACAAGAGACTGTCATATTTAGAAG